AACAAATTCCATGTCATCATCTCGTTAGAAAAATAATAGGAGTTCTTAGCAAATATTATCTAATCCTGAAAATAGTTTCAGCAACATTGATTATTTTCCTACATATAATTACTGTACATCACAGTTTATAATAATCAAATTTAAAACAGCTCAGTATACATTACAGAATTTAATCAATCATATCTGTAACATATGTAAGATAATTATCCCATAAATATTGCATTTAATTTTGCATTTTAATATTGTATATATGGAAATAGATTCATATTCGTTAATTGGCATAAAATTTACTTATTCAGATATTTTACTGTCAAGTATTAGATTTCCTTTATATACTTCGTCATTTATTTGTGTTAGTTGTGAGTATGTGGACAAGCAACAACACCGCAAGCTGTTCCGACAAGGAACAAATTTATTGCTGAGAGATATAAACGTGCCGTTGTATAAAGGCTGCATTGCTATAATACAGATAATCGCTGCACATAATTACCGTGTGCAAATTAACATACGTATCGAATAATTTATCGGCTATTTAATTATTGGATATTGCCCATCAGTATCATGATATACATGTTTAATCTGCGCTTTCTAGAATCATATTTAGCATGGCACGAGATTACTTTTGCTAGGCGCAGTAATCTCATCTGAAGATCTCCAAGTTGCGACGTGGCACGCCATAAATTTCTAGTTTTGGACGAAAAAGCAATAATTACGCGGCTATATAAGCATTCGATTATATAGACTGCATTCGTCGTCGGTTGTAATGTTTTCTTACATCTCCAAAATTATTATCAATTATATATATGCATGCGAGTCGTCAAACTAAACCTATCCTTAAATTTTCCCTCCACCTAATAATAAACAAGAGATGGACGAGAAAAATATTCTTTAGTTATGGAATCTTTGGCAAGCATGTAAAGTTACTGTTTGAATACTTTCAAATAGCAAGAGAAATTGTGCACGAGCTGCACAATTTCGACAGGAGCTTTTCAAACGTCAACTACCACAAAGTCCGCAAGCTAGAGCTGGCGCTGAGTTGACGTTAAACTGGCACGTTCGTTGAAGAAATTGAACCTGACCTTATTACAGAAGCAAAGTGTCGACGGACAGTCGGATCGATCGGATGAATAGATCGCATCGAGACGAACGAGCCGAGCCAGCCACTCCCTTGGCTTGGCCGCGGGCGATCGGCGGCGATCGATGTATCTGTCATTCGGACGCGTCAACAAATGCCAGAAACTTTCTTTTCGTGCCACAAGTACGATCTTGATGTGGCGCCTAGCCGAATATTTATTTTCGTTGGTAAGCGCGCGCGAGCACAATGGAGCCAATTATGGCAGGTTACAAATTGACGTGAAATCTACTCGAGATTTGTTCGACCGGCAGGCGCTTTCTGTTATTAATTTGACTTGATGATAAATTACGAGTGTATCGGTAATTTCACTGAGACGGCGTCAGTTAATCGTCAATTTACTCACGTCATTTACGAAGTAATGCGTTTAGCAAGTATTTTATTCGTCTGTCCTAGTAAAATGTACGTAGATGTGCATCGAGGCGGCGATGTCATTTATTAAAATTTCAATTAGGTTTAATCGGAAAGATATAATCTTTTTTTCCGATGGACATTATTTGTATTAGACTACCGATATTTTTAAAGAAAGTAAACTGACGAGTTAAAGATTAGATAACAAACGGGTTGAAACGTTTTGATCTTTGGCATTTACGTAAGCGATATCATAAAATAAGAGAAAAATTTGATTGCTCAATGTCAATGTTCCAAACGTAAACGTTTGGACGCACAAATTGATATATTTTTTATCCTTGTAAGATATAATTATATCTCTCATATAGGAGGATAGTAATTTGGCAGGCCAAAATTAATTGCTTCTCTCAATTATTTTAGCAAAAAACAATGGATCAAATAAAATTTTGAAAAATAATTGAAAGCTACTGCGGCTTGTTATGAAAATAAACTTTGTTTTGGTTTCCTTCTCTCCCACAAGTCGTTTCTGTAATGTTAATGCTAAGTATATAAATCTGTAATTATTTGTATTTCGTAGACGTGGCGATGTTATCGTTGACAGGATCGGTTTACTTTTAGCTGAACTCAACAAGGGTATATTATATTGTCAGTTTTAATTATTTATTATATTTCAATTTTACTTATTTTTACTTTATTTTATATTTTTATAGTTATGACGGTTACTTCTCAATATTAATTAACTACTTAATATTATTTCGGTAACGGTCTTGTCAGCTTTAATATTGCGATTAACATTCATGTCAATTTACGCAGGTCTTTAACTAATTGTAATGCGTTCGTGTCGTAAACCTTGAATTTTTATTATCACTGAAGAGGGTTCATGGTTGAGCCAAAACGTATGATTGTTTTTTATATTGATTATTCATGTTCAATAAATATTACACGATTTCCTAACACAAGGAAGGTTTTTTACCCATATGGTTTATATCACTATTAGTTCTGTGCTTGAACTCGAATTGCCCTTTTTCCAATTTTTTGATTGATAATTGAAAGTATTATAATTTTAATAAGATCTTATCTCATCCATTGCTTTTTTCTAAAAATTTTGAGAAAAGTTATTAATGTTTACCTAAACTATTTCCTCCTTAGAAATATTCAAGCTTTCGACAATTATCCTTTTCTTGGTTTATACGGATTAGCGTGGAATTTCAAGGATAATAATTTCAATTCCGAAAGAACGAGCTGTGCTCGCTGCAGCAGGATCGAGAAAGCTCCCCGTAGATCGTTGCAATTTATGGCCTTTGCAGTGACAGTGGCGAGACACGATCTCTTGCAGCATTAAAGAAACGCATACAAAGAATACAGATTATCTCGAAGTGTGTTTCTTCACATTTGTCCTTTTCAGGCTCTATTCGAGGGAATCTCCGCGAGGAAATAAATATACGCGACGTTTCTTGTGAGTCGATTTTTCGGGGCTAAGCGGGTGGGTTAAGTCCGCCGGCCCGGTGAGGGCCAGACGTAAAGGAGCAAAACGAAGGAAAACCAGGATCGTTTCGATTTTCACGGCCGCCGAGACACGGGGCCTGACTTTCTTCGCGCGACTCGGCGACAAAACGAAGCGCGAGCGCGATAGGGCACGGCCATGGGGGCCAGCGGCAGGGTGCCACGGCATTCTTACCTACAGCACAAAGTGCTGTAGGTGTCCGTGTCTTTACTTTCACTGCTCGTGGTCTGATCTAAGACGCGTTGTCCCCCGTCGCGATCTTTTTGCATCCTGAAAGGCTATCGGAACCACCCGACGTGCTCGCGAATCGGAGCAGCACGAAGAACGGCCGAGCAGTCCGCGAATGTCGTGCGAACGGGCGCGATCGCGCATCCCTCTCAATCCCGACCGATTTGTTCCGGTCAACGTGCGGACAATACCTTTACCGTTCCCTCGACGGCAAGATCGTTGGAATTTGAATTTACATCGTGCTGGCCGCGAAGACGAGCCGCGGATATTCCAGCGTGGCATAAATTTCACGAAACGTGTGTATGGCGCGGACAGTCGAGATATCGGGAATGAAAGAGAGGGAGAGAGACAGAGAGAGAGAGAGAGAGAGAGAGAGACGAAGGAGCAGCGAAAAGGAGAGTCTGCGAGATCCGAGAAAACGGTGGGGTAATCGTCTCCTAAACTACAAACGAAAGGGAAAGGAAGAGTTATACGAGAAGCTATTTGTCCCAGTCCACTCGCGATTCGATCGAAAATGACAGAGAGAGAGAGAGAAAAAGAGAGATGTCGATAGAAATTTGAAATGATTCTTCTCAGATAAATTTCGTGCAATGTACCGGTCTTATAAAGAATCACGTGACTACTTAATTATTTAACACTGTTATGCAAAGATCGGTTAGATCACGTAATATTCCCGAATAGAATGTCTTGAAAAATCAGATGAAAGACTATCAACGTCACTGGTGATCAATAAATCGTTGAAATAATTAACGGAGATCCTAGTGTAGCGTTTTTTTTTTAATAAAATAAAATAAAGAACTTTTTTAAGTGGCGCATGATCGCTCGAGAATGACGATATTGTATTCTGGCGAAGGGAGAGGAACAGCCATTAGTTATTCACTTGCAAAATATTTATTCGACGACTCGTCCGCACGACTTGCGCGCGTGTTTGCGAAATAAAATAATATATTCGGAAATATCGTCGCGTCAATTTACCGGGCGGTATGCATCGCGCGCCGTCGCATGTAGGAAATATTCTGCAATCGATGCGAAAAGATGTCCAATTACCCAACACTGCCGGTTCTTCTCCAAATCGTGACCTTTTTCGCGCGGTGCTCGATGCATCCCGATATCAAAATTCCGATTCCGCAAGATTATCTACGTCCCCGCACTCCCCATTTTTTTCTGCACGAACCGCTGCAGTTCGATATTAAATGTCGTATTAATTATTAATGAGGAATGTACGTGTTCTTTTGTATTAAAATATATATAGTAAAATAGACTCGGAAATTGAAACCTCGAAAAAAAGCCAAGAAACATTCGTGCGTGTGCGGGAATATATTTGCATGCGTAAATGAATCTCCGCGACGGCACGGAATTTATTTTGTTCCAAGATTCACGTCCTACCTCATACATCTTCTATTATCTTGCATCTATTATTATTCGTCGAGAGACAAGCAACAGAATCACAGACAAGCGAATTGTATTTCTCTCTCTTTCTGCCCGTGCATAATGGATATGACGTCACACACATACAAACGCCTTTTAATTATATTAATAGATCCCGACGCATGACGGAGAAACGCGTAAGCAGGTAGAAACAAGCGCGTAACTCGCCACTTGACTCGCCTCCCCACCGGCTTAGCGTAAGCGCGGCGTAAGTCCACGCATTCGTGACGGCATTACGGCGGAGGGTGAGTGTGCGCGTATCATTAAGGATATATCGGAGTCACACGTACGCTATCGCGGACGGTTCGTGCACGGGTGGTTTGCTGGTAGAGTGAGAGTGCCATATATATAGAGAGAAGGGGAAACTCGGCTCGGCACTCCAAAGTACACAGCCTCCGCGATTGCAGTGGTGTGCTTTCTTACGGTCCCTGCCGCCGTCGTCGCCTGATATCCATTCCTCGCCGCGGCCTCGCGCCCAGTGGTTAACAGTCGGCCACAGATCGGTGCTTTCCACACGTCGCAGCCGCAGAAGGGCACGACATCCGCAGGGCCAGCTAGAATCCCCGGGCCGTCGGCACCATGAAACTTACGTTGTTCACGTGAGTAACGCACGAGCCGTCCGCATTAGTCGCAGAAGTGGTAGTTCCCGTGGGATTTGCAAGGTCCAATTTTAGACACGACCCAACGACACACAATCTTTATCAATCGAACGTCTCCCTTACACGTGAAACCTTTCAATTTCTTTCCTCGACAGCTCGCAATCTTCATGATGTGATGGGACATAATTAGAACATAGTCAGGACATAATCAGCAGGCTTCTTCTTCTTTTTGACAGTGACTCTCGGCGATTATGTCGGGAGCTTCTGTGCAAGTGGTTCGACGAACCTCTTAAGTTGCGAATCACTCGTTTTTCTTTTCTGTAAATTTCGCTCGGTGAGTGTCTGAACGTTTCATTTATTTCCACACGAACTGGAAATGGAGCGTAATGTTACGTGAGAATCACTCGGAGAAACAATCACTTGGTTTGTTTAGAGGTAAACGATATCTGGCGAGCTTTCTTTCTAATTTTGATTATATTTCGAAGGAGAATTAGAAAAGAAAATCTACTTGTCTGATATATAAATAATTTAATTGCAGCCGTCACTAAGCAGTACACTCGAATGTAACATATTGTTCAGCTGTACCACATACCGCCCAATGATTAGAATGTCAAAAGCACGACGTTAACAAGAAATAGCCGACAAAGATGCAGTTAGTGACGTTTAACGGTGCGATCTTTCACTCATGCATTGTTAGCCCGGTCGATTCTGATCGCAGATCCACGGATCGTAAGTCCATGGATCGCCTTTGGGTGGCTAAGTCGAGTAATTCCAAGGCCGGTTGAACATTCGCGATCGAAAGGTGTGTGTATCCTACCTACATGTTGTTTTCAAGCTTCTATATCTGTCATCTATTGCCTGCAATCAAAATCATGCGTTAACGCTCGCGGTAATCGCCGCTACCGATAACTTTCGATCACGACAACGCAGATTGATTTACGATGTCTAATGGCTAATATATGTCAGATTGTTTAGTGTAATATTCGCATTGGAAATAATGTATGCACATCACGAATCGTAAAATAGGTGCACCGACTTTGCAACTGGTTATTTAATCATCACGTTCTATTAGAACGTCGTCCATTGATTACTCGACGCTGCACCTGCGTTCTACACCAATTCCGGTCAGATTCATATTCGGTCGCGAACGTAGTTACGAGCAAAGTATTAATAACGGGATGTAGGAAGACGCGTTATGCAAACGGCTGCAGTAGCTATCCTTTCCTGCTCCTGACCAGGAAATCGATTAGAAAAGCCGCAGCGAGAGCGACAGCGCATAACGGAGATTGTTGTTGAAATCAATTAATACGTGTTTTCTTAACGAACGAAAAATTCGTGTAAATAATACGTCGTTGATTCTCCTTGACATTATTCTGAACGAGACGTGTATTATAAAGCGTTTTCTTTCTATCGAAAACTGACGGAGGATAAAGAACAAGAGACTTTCATTCACGTTGAGGCGAGTCTCCTTAAGTGCAGTAAAAATATATCAAATGCCACATAAATTTGTAATACAGAATTATAGTTGAATAAGCAAGAAGGTAAAGAGAAATAACAAGAGGACGAGGGATAAATTAAAAAAAGAGAAACAAAGAAAGGAAGAAAGAAACATTAATTTTGGCTCGAGGAAAGACGAAGAAAGGAATTTAGAACGAGAGAAAATCAGAGGTAGAAGTTCCAAGGAGAAAGTATCTAAAGAAGCGAAATAACAAACGAAGAGAAAGAGATAAAAGGTACAAAAGAAGGCGAGGAAAAGACTTCTAACGGCGGACCCACGCATGTTGCTAACAACATCCTGCAGGCAGATTAATGCGAATGTAATCGCTTCCTTCCAAGGCGAAGATCCAGCAAGTTCAATGATCTCGCGTCACGACGGAGTCGAGAGCGGACGATGATGAATTACTTCGCTGGCGAGTAGCGGTCCAACTATTGGATATACGCTAACGTGAAACTGTAGTCTTCAATCGGACCGTTTCGTGGTTCGATGGGCGGCGAGGATTACGCTCATTAATTACGCACGGTAACTATTCTCGTTTGCTGGCAAACCGGTTAGCTGATAAAAGAAAAGGTACATTGCGAATTCCACAAGTGAGCAAATCAATCGTGCGTACGCGGCTTCCTTCGCGTTTTATACTTAAACTTTCCACTAAGATTTCTAAATTACTTAATTATCGCGACTTGGAAGAGTAAACACGCGTACGCGCACGCAATTTAGGACCCGAAGGAGAGATGCACTGAAGCATCTGTTCACGAATTCTGGCGGAGCAGCGACCAAGTTTGGACATGTTGTAATATATATTTCGAGGTAACGTCTGTTTGAAAATTGAGGACACGAGGCAACGCGACTGACGGTGTCCCCGGTTCGCAAACTGCCTAATTATTCCGCACTCAATGCGTATCGAATGCGACCGACATGCGACATCTCGCGAATTAAAAAGAATTAATTGGTAATTCCTTTTCGTGGGCGGACTTGTGTGAGTGTGTTTTTATCCGACGTGAAACGGGACATTACGCGTATGCCACGTGGCTAATACCAATATACCTACGCACACAGACGATGCGTTAATGAAAGCGCAGGTAAGAGGAACGAATTAATTTGCAACGCCAATCGACCTTGCTGCTCGAGCAATTTACGTTTCCGGCGTCGCGTGTAAAACTTCCAAAAAAACTTAATGCAATTCTAACCACAGGTGAACTTCTTTAAAGGGACTCGGCCGTCACGTAGTTTTCGATCTCACCGATTTATTTAGAACATAGAGATAATTATATTCACACAGGTGTCCCGCAAAGCGTGTATATATTTAGAATTTATAACGCATATATCTGGATTATTTTTATCCGTGTATATTTATTAATTCATCAACACAAAACGTTCACCAACAAACGGAGACAGTCATTCGACAACTTCCAAGTATGACAGAACGTCGCGGCCGTTCTCGTTTCGCGAGAGGGAGAGAGAACACCGAATTCACGTGTTTTCGCAACCGTACAGCGCCGGGTATTCCCGCGGCGATCTATCGATCGAAATCGCCCGACCAACTCGATGTGTCTCCCGCGGATCCCTCGAAATTTCTCCCCCTTTCTTTCCCTCGGCACACCCGAGGCCCCGAGAGTTCGGCTGGTTTTCTTGACATTTGTGAGCCGCCTCACGTATGAATGTCCCGTCGTAACGGCGCAGGCCAATCCCGAGCGCCGCTGTGCGCGAGTTGCACGAGAGCCGAGCAGAGAAAGTGAGTCTCGTGTACGTGAATGTCACAGGTCAAAATCCACCTGGTGTACGCGGATCTACCACGAGCGAACGCGAACGCGCGAGCGGGAACGAGCGCCGCACGCCGAGCCGAGCCGAGTCGAGCGTACGCAATAATCGCTGCAGCGCACGTCACGAGTAGGATCTCTCGTCCTCGGATTCCTTTTTCGATCCTGGCGAAAGTTGCGACCGGGTACCGTCCTGCGCGCGTCCTGCGCGAAATCCGCGAGCGATCGCTCGGCCATCGCGGAAAAGAAACTTTCGGTCCGACTCCCCCGCGAGAGACCCAAGTCCAAGAAAAAGATCCCTCTTAAGGAGAAGCCTGCCGAACGCATAGAAAATTATGAAGAGAGCTATCAATACAAATTTTGCTTTCAATATTAATTGAGAGGAGAATAATTTCTTTCCTTAAATTATATATTATTGCTGTTAAGTAAAAAAAAGTCACTTTTTAAGGAGAAGCCTGCGAACACTTAGAAAATTATGGAGAGAACTGTTTATGTAAATTTTGCTTTCAATATTACTTGAAAGGGAAATAATTTCTTTCCAAAATTATTGTCATTGTTAAGAGTTAAAAAGGAAGAAACCTTTTAAAGAAAAGTTTGCGAAGATATAGAAAAATATGAAGAGAATTGTTTATATATATATATATATATATATATATAAGTTTTGCTCTTAATATTAATTGAAAAGAAAATAATATCTTTTCAAAACAATTGCTAAGTGTGTCGAAGATATGTGAGACAAATATTTAAAGTAAAATTAATTCGCAAACTACAAATTGTACACGTGCATTTCGACCATATTTCACATTACTTCATATCTTACGCGAATTGTTGTGTGTGTGTGTGTATTCTTTTAATAAAGAATTTTTTCGAAAATAATAGAAGCGAACAAGTGATTTATACAAGAAGTGACATTAGAAGTACATGATTTACGAGAAATTTATAAATTTGCTCTTAAATTTCTAAAGCAATAGTCATGCACTCTTTCATGCTAGCTTCCAAGTTTTCAGAGCAGTAGTTTGACTTGCATATTCCGCTGTTTCTTAAGTGCAACCTGTCAATTTAGTCGCCGTAAACGCCATAAACTCGTTTCGCGACGGCGTAACTTAAATTATGCTCTTTTTTTTTTAGCGTGAATACGCCCGTAAGCGAAGGCACAGATTGTCGTGGTCTCCATGCGATCCTTCGGCTTGTCGCCTTCCTCTTTCTCACTGTCAGGAAAATCATTTTCTAATCTCTCAGAACATGCTCTGCATAACCCGCAGCTGTCGCTTGTTTGGTCATACAGCGCAGTTCTTCCGCAATCCAGCGACGCAAAATATAAATGCAAACGACAGTTCACGATAACTGTTACGTCACATCATATAAATACTGTTATGTCATTCCCTCGTTGTTCTAAAATTTTATACACAACAAGAATCGCAAATTACATATTTTTTCTAACAATAACATTGTTTTTATCCATTTCTTAAAGTGTTACGACTGCATATTATCCTTTGGGATTGTCACTTCAAGATAACTCAACGGGAACACGTGTGTGCACACAGAGAGTGATCGTAAAATAATAATTATTTTGCGAATGGTGAAGAGAACAGCCGATAATACATGAAGATTGCAATGCATGTAACGTGTTCTTTGCAGAATATTAGCCCTCTGTATAATAGCCGTCAGCAGATCAGCCGAAGAGGAATATGATTACGAGGAGGAGGCAGCGGCAGCGCCGGTGACGCCGGCGCCGGCGAAGCCAGCAGGTGGTCGACTGGGAGGCCTTCTTTCCTCGAGAGGACGTGTCGGCGTAGCAAATGTAGGAAAGAAAAGAGCGCCAGCGGTGAGTTTAACTTTCTTCTTTACATTAATTTTTTACGCGGCATTCATAAGAGATCTTACGTAATGCAGATTTTAATCAACTTGATCTTCGAGCCAAACTATTACCACACAATATTCAATTAAAAATCCGACACTTATATAAATCTTAAGAATCAAATTTGACGAAATAACTTTTCTAGGCTCAGTCGACAACGTCGAAGCCGGTGGAGCAAGCGCCTGAGGAGGATGAAGTGGAAGACGAAGACGTGCTTGAGGAAAGCGAAGAACACGAAACTCCTACGACAACGACCGAAGCTACGAAGAAGCTTCGGAATAGTGGTGGCGTCAGACCTTTCAGGTATCCATTCAATAGAACCCATAAAGTTGATACTTTACATCAAGTATCTTTGAGAACGAACAATAACAAAAATACACGAATATAATTTCAGATCAAACGAAGATCTTCTGGCTGCCTTGAAGAGGAGAAGAGCCCAGACTGGGCCCAGCAGTCATCCACGAGAAACGGCCGCCACGCATTCTGCCGTAGAGCACACCACAGCTAAGTCGAAGTAATACATATATATAGTATATAATATCATAAAGAGAATATTTCCATTTCTATTGATTTTCTTTTACAAATCACTAAAAATAGGAATATAACGTTCGTTTTACGTATGAGTTTTCTCGGTAGCATATTAAATGATAAAAGTCGGTTTATACTCGAGTCTGTTTGATAAACTGTCGCTGATTGGCGATAATTGCTCCTCAGAGCCACCACGAACAGTCGTGCTAAGGCCAGCACAGTTGGCGAGGCAAAATCATCGGGACGAGGCAGGTTTGGAGGAAGAGGAAGTAAGACTATCCAAGAGGAGGTCGAAGAGACCCAACGGGAGGAGATTCAAGTGAGACCCAAAACCAACTCCTACCGCAGAGGAGCTCGATCATAAGTCATTTATTAAATCGTTGTGAGATTTGCCCAAACTCTCATTGACTTCTTAGAAACACAAAGCGATCGAATTCGACGATTTATCAGCGCGTAGAAATCGTCGTTTCTCATTGTAAGGTATCCAGTCTTCTTCAAACGATCAAGTTTCTCACCGCGGATTAAAGTTTCAGTCTCTGTGCATCGAGACTTTCGATAATATATAATTGACACTAAATAAAAGATCGTGATATGCTTTGGGCACGAGTCATACCGAGACATCTCGTCATTCTCGAAAAACGGCAGCTTCGTTGGCATCTCGTCGCGTGTTACAAAAAGTATATCAAGAAATAATTGCGAAGTGAATATAACGATTATCTGAAGGAACGAAATAGCCGTGTAGTTTTCCTCTTCGTCGCCGGGTCTCAGTAGACATGTGGTCGATCGAAGAGACGATAAAAAAGTGATGTGTATATAGCAAAATACTGCCGTCAAATACCTAAATCACCTAATGTATAAATGTAAATTAATGTGACAATTAATTAATGTGAACAATAAAGTTTCTGGAAAGCGAACTCCGTTCCGATGTACTCTACGCTGATCTTTCGATCGTTCTCGCGACATGACGCATCTGATCAGAATGACATTTTGTTACTGAACAACTGTGATTTTATTATTCAGATGTGAAAAAATGGAGCACAAATTTTATTGGAAATGCAAGTTTATAAAAGTCGAAATTGACTTTTACGTAATTATACTTTTTATGACTTCTTTCCATAAAGTACACCTGACATTTCTTTCTCAATTTTGACAAAATGTATATCTGTAAATTATTATTTATTTTTCTAGGAGATGAAATCGATCGAATATTATGCATACAAATACACAAAGTAACTATTTTTAACTTTGACAAACAGCGTTAAAAAGAAACGAGTTAATCGCCAATCAGCTACGTTAAGTGTGCTGCTTTAACTAATTAGATGCATCGTCACACATACTTCATTGCGAAGTATATTTTAATGATTCTAAGAAATGCAACAAAAAATATTCTATTGTTCGCCAGAACAAAGACGAGGTGCATCGAAGGCGAATGAACTCTACTGCGCGAGCCGCATTGTCAGTCAACCATAAAATCTTATACTTACGTGACAAAAGTTACAAAACGCCCTACTGTTTTTTACATAAAACGTACAAACACGTACGTGCACGGAGAATGAATATCAATTTCATCAGGCGCGTTCCTTGTCTATAAAGGGAAGTTTTCCAAGTTGCGAATTACTCCTCGGTATACTGTTAGACAAGAAAAATACAATGTTCTCGGAAAAAATATTATAGATATTCGTGAAATCTCATTAAAATTTATTTGAAGATGCCACAATAGAATATTTTACTAATAATAGTATAGTGTTTATATCGACTGACATTATTTCTTCCGCTTTGCGATAAAACAAATTCATGACACAAATTTGTCATTTTTTTTTAATTTTCAGTGTTTATATGTGAAATCTACTTACTGTCTTATTCTTTTGCATCTCAGAAAGTAAAAACGCGGATATTGTAAGTATTGAAAATAATCCATGATAAATATGTTCGGTTTCTAATTTGCTTTATCGGCACCGCTGATCGCACTTAACGATTATCGTCATACCTGGCGGATTATCGTCATACTCGAGCCGTGAAAAAATAATGATGCACACACACCTCGAGGAATGTGCACGCGGGAGAAACTCCCGAAGCTCGGAATGTCGGAGGCGTTCGGCGCGTGCACTCCCGCATTCTTACGTCTCGCATTATGCGATTGTGGCACGAGAAGTCGCGCATGTTACCTACCACTCCCGAAACTCCGAGAGTTTTGCGCGACCGACATCGCGCGGCCCACTTTATCGTCGATAAATAATTCAATCACGACTCTCTCAGCGAGCGTTTAATTCCTTTCACCCCCCCGTAGTCGAATGTCCAATGTCGTCGCCAAAATCGCGGCGTGCGAAAAAGTACGATAAACAATGGAAACACTCGCTTAGATAAACGAATCGTCTGCCATTTAAACAAATTCGCAAGATGCAATATCAAAGAGATTCTACAAAACTATCGGTGGTCTCCTTTCTTATTTTTTCATCATCATTCGCGGTTTATAAGCATATAGCGAAAAGAGGCGTTGAATCGATATTGTTCGATCTTGTGAATCTCAGTTCATTAGATTTGCCGAGAAACTGTTGCGGCGCGTATTGGCATAATGAGTTTCAGACAGAAATAACCCGAAAGGAAGATATTACGGTCGGATAGCTAATCGCGATACGGATCGGCGACTCGTCGAATCCCAATCGACTCGTCAACTCGTTTAGATGGTGTGACCTATGGACGAGTGTAATTCGTGTTTGCGAGAACGCTGAACTTTAAAGTTCATCCTCGACTGGGTTTTACCGGGCGAGGCGTTTATAGAGAGGACTCGCGGTTTCGGCTGTCGTCCCGCACCTCGCAACCTTGGATCGATTGCAGCCGCGAGATCGGGGGAGACTACAAACCGCCGAAGAATCCGCGCTGGGGAGAGTGCGGATAGAATACTAGAAAACAAGAAGAAACGAGGGAGAGAGAGAAAGGTGGTCGCGGCCAGGCTCATAAGAGCAGAGGTGTGCGATAGGCAGGAAAGTGAGAGGAGGTGGCACCTGGTCGGCCTTGAGGCCTTTACAAGGAACATTTCACTCACAAAGAATATCGAAGCCGCGTCATGACACCGGGACGCCGCGTTTCGGCCACGAACGACGAAAGGGAAGGTGACGAGAAGAGGAAAAAGAAAACGAAAGCACATCGAAGTAACTTAAAGCTTGACACGTCGTTCTTGAAAGTCCCAGAGAAGAAGTGTCCCACGTTCAGACGTATAAGACGTGTAGTCCTATTAAACCGTAAAAAAACTACCTGTATTATAATAATTCGATAATCGGAGATCAACCAAATTTAAAGTTCGCGACATAGTTTCGTATTTTTTAACCCTTTCGCTATCAGTTTTGATTTTTAAAGATACAATTTCCTTTCACTTTTCACTTTATTAAATACATTAATATAATGTAGTTTTAGCAAAAAAAATTAAAAACTTTATGTTTGGCGTCAAAAGGATAAGGCCGGGACACTGATGTCCCATTGGGGAATAAGGTTATTATTAATGTTGGAGAAAACATATGTCCCATGGTAGCGAAAGAGTTAATATAACTTAGTATTTCTGTCTCTAACAGAATTTTCTGACTTATCTTAAACGTCTTTATTTTAAACATCTCTGTTATAATAAGTCGCGATCGGAAATTAGTCCTGTCCAAATTTAAGATTACCGACATTGTTTTGCACTTCAACACAGTGGACAGCTTTGTATCTCCTAACAGAATTTTATCCAATCTCTCTCATCTTATTGAAAGATCGCATTAGGATTTCTTGCGCGGAGAAGTTACGGGGGAATGTTTATGACGAGGACAACTCGACGGTCATGAGCTTGCACATCCGCGACTAGTGTTCACGTGCATAAACAGTTTTCCATTTGTGCAAGAACGCCTACACGAGATTCTAATCGCGAATCGGGACTGATCTCGTCCTGTTCAGCGGTCATCCTTGATTGCGGCGACATTCCATCGGGAATTTCCCGTTCTCGACCTCCGGCCGTTAATGCACCCGTTGACACTGCCAACCGCCACCCCCAGACGCGATAAAACCGTTATATTTGCCTGTCCCGATGAGAGGAAAACAACAAACGCATTATTTGTGTCTTTGAGGCGCGAGGAAGAAAAATTACGAGCAGTGAAAGGAGAGAAATTTTGACGTTCGCCGTGTAATTTCTCAGGTTGCATGCGTGCGCGCACTAAGTTGTTTGCCAGCACGATTTATTATCGCTGCTATTATGGCAAAGGTTAAACGTGACTTCTTCGAACAATTTACGCATTCTTTTAGTATTTCTCGGTGTCGCACAAATATTCCCTTTGCCCAAGGGCTCTCCGTATTTCGAATTTCAAGAGCAGCCTCTTAATGGAAATTTCACGAAACAATCTACCTTCGATGACAATGTAATTGGAATACCAACAAATGTAACACAATTGAGGCTTGAATGAAAATTCCATTAAGCGAAAATTCACTCGGCTTTCTTCTTTAATAAAAGATTATCCATTTACACTCTCGAGATATGATTCGTGGTAATGTAGTGAAATAATTCTATAATTATACATGTATTAAAATTTTATTATGTCGCATATTGTTCGATCAATTACATAACTAAACGTAGCTGTGTGAGATAGCTATGACGTACGACTTTTAAGTGTGAAGGTGGGTATGTTTCTCTGGGCAGTGCAACAAGTTACATGTTGACCTTTCGATAATGTCGTTGGAGAGATTGCAAGAGTAATCGCGTCTCTATGCGTCGCATTTTTCGAACGTTTGCTGACACGGGTGGACGTAAACTACAACATATTTCATGAAATATGTCAGCCTACAAAGCATTTATTCTAATACCGCTAAAGGTACAATTAATATTCTCGAGAGGAAGTCAATAGGTTCTCACCTACCTGCGAGATTTCTTCGAGATTTCATCGAGAATTGCCGCGCTGTCGTTCAGGTCGCGTTCCGAGCAAAATGGGATAAACGTTACGTTCGCGGAAATTGGATAGCAACTACTTAGGAAGGAAGTTGCACAACCGTTCGTTGCACCTTCGCAATTTCGGACAACAGATCCGTGAGATTGCACTCTACAAAGTGATTATGTTGTACCTCTTGTACATGGAGAGAAGACACATTTGTAGCACGAAAATTCGGAAAACTTCTCGCCTCTGGTGTATTAATCGGGACAATTGTTTAATTTATGTTACACGGTCTCATCTTCGTAATGGAATAAAATTAGAACGTACACGGAAAAAAAGGTTTGGTTGAATTAACCAAATATCTGGTCGAATATGAGCGAAAATTCCAGAAATTCCGATTGAAGTAATCTGAATTCTGGTTAAGTCAACTAAAAATCTTGTTAACTTAAACAGAATTCGGGTTACTTCAATCGGAATTTCTGGATCGTTCATATTCGATCGGATATTTGGTTAATTCAACCAAACCTTTTTTTCCGTGTGGGAAGATATACGACCGATACGCGTGAAATTATACTTATTACGCGAAATATTACGCGAAAAATACGTGCCATAATGGTGAGCGACAAGTGCTACTGATAGACGACTGCCATCTCGGCATGACTCTGTAATTACACGAATATGTGCATCTCGGCGAATTGCAATTGCGTTCGCTGTCGCCAACGAAACGCCATTGCGACACGAGGAAACGATTATGGAGATACGGTGTGCATTATAATAAGCCGAGGCGTTGCACAAACTGTAACGGCGCATGTCCTCCGAGAGCAAATAAGTATGTTCGCCGATTGCGCGCGTACTACGGTAGCTCATAATTGCACTTCATTTGCAGGAGCGGAGAAGAATATTGCGTTGGAAGGAGATATATCCTGATTTATCGTTACCCAAGACTTCGCGGCAGGATAACATGCGAACACGTCTGTTTCAGGATGAAATAATGAGCGTGGATCGATACACCGGCGAGCCATTGT